GTTTAGGGAAGAGAAAATGTGTGATTAAATGGGATAAAATTTAACCTGAAAGTTTAGAAATTTATCATATTTCAGAGTTCTTAAAACAAAACTATTTATATATTACAATCCTGCTTTCCTTATTGGCTATTTGTCCTTTCCCCATATAACAGAATGAGGCATTGTTACTTACAGACATATATTTTTTCATTTAAATGTCACATATTCATTTTTCATGTTCACTCTGTAGATTAAAATCAGTGACAACATTTAAGTAACATCAAAGATTTAATTTAGGTTGACTAATTTAGGTATCAAATAGAGTTACAAATTTTGTGAGACTTATAGTACTATTTAAATGCAAAGCGTTTTTATAATTGGACAGCCATGTATATTCATCATTAGATCTTGACATCACAGAGATGACTTTAAAGAATTGCCCCCAGATCAAATAGCTAAATAGATCCTGGGAGAGTTGATTCCGTTTCTGACAGCCATTCTTCCTGAACTGAAGGTGAGGGTCACTTAAGATGAGGGCACTCAAACGTGAAGAGAGCCAAACTACACAAAAGCTTGGTAGTGGTCTGATGCACACAGGCTGGAAGCATTTGCATATAGGGTGTTAAAAAATGAACAGATGAGACCATGGGACATCGGACACTGGCCCAGCAGTATTGTCTCAGCTGTGGGGAATTGTGGACCCATATTAAGCTGTAGTGTCTAACAGTCCAGGAGAAAAATGATCACAGGTTTTGAGTTAGATTTGGCTCCTTAATAAGTCCCCTGATAAACTCATTCTTCTAGATGTGACCAGCCTCCTGAAATACAGCCCTTTGTGTTTTCAGTGTGAACAATATTTAAAATGAATTGGATGCTCCTAACTCTTTCTCAGTAGTCTTGCTGCAGTTAATATTTTATCTAAAATAAAATACAGATTTACTTAGGAGCTTTAACAACCATGTGTCAATAACTGATCTTTGTTATAGATAATCTGTGGCAATCATTTAAAAGAGCAGCATGCTATAGCATGAGGCTGTTTCTAAAGCTCTAAGAAGTAGCCACGTCTGCAGGATACAGCACGTGTCCTCGTGTCCCACATTTCCCATACTACCACATCCGGAATGTTTTGGTCTTAGTTTTGACACTTTTTTCCCTTCTAGTGGTAAAAATAGTGGAAACAGAAATACATCCTTTATAGAGAGACACAATGATGTGTCCTTCATTTATGAAGATTTTGAGGGCTTATTATAAAGTAAGTAATTCATGGAGATGTAATGTACAGCATAGTTATTATAGTTGACAATACTGTATTGAACATTTGGAAGCTGCTAAGAGAGTAGATCTGAACAGTTTTTGTCACAAGAAAAAAATTGTGTAATTATGTATGGTGATAGTTGTTAACTAGACTTATCGTGGTGATCGTGGTGATTTTTTGCAATAAATACAAATATCAAATCATGTTGTTAATGTAACATGTGAATTATACCTCAACAAAAAGATTTGAGGCCTTTTATTTAAAAATTAAAATTAATAATTTTATTGTGTATACTATAAATATTTTATGAAATGAATACATAATAATTTCTATTTCTAGATATTTTAGTTGAGAACAACTGTTTGGCTTTATCTAAAAGAAAGAATTGCCCCAAATAGAGTGATTTGCTCTCAGTGTTTTATTTCTTAAAGTGGGGATGGTTAAATAGTCATTTTCTTTATAATAATTTGTTAAACTTTTCATATATGTAAAATATATTCTTTTCCAGTGGTCTGTTATAATTTACAATGAAAGAAGTAGGGAAATTGCCCTCGATGTTTTATTTCTTAAAGTGGGGATGGTTAAATAGCCATTTTCTTTATAACAATTTGTTAAACTTTTCATATATGTACAATATATTCTTTTCCAGTGGTCTGTTATGATTTACAATGAAAGAGGGGTGGAAAAAAAAGATTTTTCCATCTTCAAAATATCTCCTGGAGCAGTGCTTGAAATTCCATTTTTGTCAGTTAATTATTTTAGTTAATATTTGGCTTTAACTTTTCCTCTTTAAAATGCAACTACTATGGCCAATAATAAATGAAGACATGAGCCCTTTAGTGTTTAGGATTTGTCAGATCACCTCTTCTCTGTAGCCCAAGAATGTGAAATGATGTAGAAGGAATGATTCTGTAAAATGATACATGAGAAAAAAAGTTAGTCATCAATGTCAGCGAAATGGAGTCAGTAAACCTAAATAATTCATAACCTGTATTTCTCACTTTTGCAGATTTTGGTAACCAGCACATAACCTAGCTTTGCTGCATAGCTTAGCTTTCCTCTCAAATGGTAGTATGATAAAATCTCATTAATTAAGTGCTCCCAGTAAGTTATTGCTGTTAAGTAGCTTCTCCCCCTTAAGTTGTTTTCCTAGAAAGGCTTTTAAGACTTAGGCTTGTCCAATTCACAAGGTAGGGAGAGGAGAATACATTTAAACAGATATTTAGTTAGTAGTCCACTGTTTTAATAGAAAAGAGCCATGAATTAAATCGTATTACTGATAATACCTTATTTATGCTGTGTATGTGAGAATTATGACTGTTGTGTTAGTAAAATAGTCCTGACAGTTGAACAATTTATTTTGGAGAAGCTTGGCCTTGCTGTTCGTGTCTCAGAGAGCACATATACGTGATTTTTTTTTCCCCGAAAGTCTTTTTAAAAACAACTCATTTCGTGTTTCATCATAAAATTAAGATTTGGATATCATGAATAACCAAATGTTGTTCTTTTGAAGAAAATATATACCTATATTTAATATGAAATTTTTCTATTTTAAAATATTCCTCAGTTGTTTGTCTACCTGTTTATTAATTTTTTGGAAGATTTGGATAGAAGAAAACTAGGTGAAAGTGATTAAGCAACCTGACTTTCTCCAAGGTGGTTAGTTGTTAGACTAATGAGATGGGGTTTGGAGTAAATCTAGGCTTGTGCTTAAGCTTGTTACAGAGCTTTGGTTAGCATCACGATGTTCACCTTTGCTCGGTGCCTCTCCGAATGGAGTCATTGGCGGTGGGTATTGGTTTCTCTCTTGTGCCTTCTCCTCTCCCAAGCCTGGGGAAACAGCCTTAGATACATGGAAGTCTTATTTGTATTATAAAGTAATAATACCTACTGAGAATAATACCACGTTAAAAAAATTATTAGAAACAATTAAAAATATTAACTTTGAGTAAACCTCAGTGGGGCACAAATGAATTGATCCGTCTTGCCACTGCCCCACAAACCACATAGAATTCCACATTTGAGAAGCAACTCCATCTCAAATCTGTGGCTGGAATTTGGGGAATCTGCCCTTATGATTTTATTAACGGTTGTAAAATAGACAGTAACTGGCCATGGGGTAGTTCAAGGGAATTGGTTGTATCCCATATTTATAATGAAATTTCCTGGTGAAATTTCTCATAGGCCCCAACGCTATTCTTTTCTGATGCCTGGATTCTGAATGTTGCTTTAGCATGAGCTGGCCTTTAATGTCATGTGTATCCCCAGGCTTGCCTTTCCAGTTCAGCATTACAAAATAGGAACCAAAATCCGATACTGAATCTACATCACATTCCTTCATTTCAATCTCAGTTAACCTTGAGAGAAAAAATTCTCCTCTTAGTTGGCTATGGGATACTCTCTTCATTGGACATTCTTTTCACTTATCTTCTAAAGAGTCTACCTTTCCAGTAGACCCTTAATTTAGACTGACTTTTTAACTATTTGAAAGTGGGGCACAGAGGGCACATGGAAGGCCATGTGTTGTGGTTTAGATTTAAGTCTCTGGAGCCACACTGCTGGATTTCAAAGCTGCACACCCGCCCCAAACCCATGAGTTGTGAGACCTTGGGAAAGGCCCCCCCCTTTTTTTTTATCTTAAAAATGGGAGTGAGGTTAGTATTTACTTCATAGGATTATTTTGAGGATTATATGAATAAATAGAAATGAGGTGCTTGGAATAGCACCTGACATATAATAAATGCTCAATAAATATTAGCTCTTACTACTATTACGAGTTCATCTCATGACTTGAAAACCATCAGTGATTAGTGATGATTACATTTTAGGTTGAAGGACTCAAACTGTGGACATCTTCTGCAAGATACTGCTTTGAGGTGGACACACCTGTAAGGCATAGAGTTAATTGAAAAAGAACTTCGGGCATCCCCTCACTGGTCTCCCCTGCACCTCCCAGAGAGAGGTGCATGCCACTTGAGAAAAGTCATCATCAGTGCCCACACATCTCATCCCTGCAGGCTTATCAGCCTCTGTTCGGAGAATGGGGTCCAGACTTCCAGGACGAGCCTAGCCCGTCACTTATCTCTATTAGATCAAGATTTGCAACATCTTGTCTACTGGGGGCTCCCTCTGCTGGTTCATCTAACATATGCAAATCTGTGCAATAAGAGCTTTTGAAAAGTCAGTTTTAGGCTTTTAGAGATGTTTGCATAAACACATTTGAAAATTTGTGTGTGTGCGTGAGGTACAAATCACATCTGTATTACTCTTTTTTTGCCATCTGTATAATGAGTTGGAATATTTCATAGTTTCAAGTTTAAAATGTGTTGTTGTTTGCTTTGTTTTAGAATGGAAACTATCATGGCATGCCAAGAAATGGTCACTTCTTTACAGCATAGCTATCAATTACTATGTTTTACATTTCAAGATAAAGCACTAAATATCTTAGAATCTTATTTTAACAGTCTAAGAATGTCCATGATGTATGGAGTTATTAGTTAACTCTTAGAGTCTCATAAGGTCCCATTTTAAAGTAGTGTCATAGCCTAGACGCCATAGGACATTATTATGTTGAAGACTGATGGTTTTACATGTTAGAAAATAGCACCTTATTCTTCAACTCATTATTTATTTGGAATTATAATTTAGCGACACAGTGTGCCATGACATCCCCAAAATTGCATTTGAAAATAATTTTGTGCTTCTTTCTGTTTTCCTGATCACTATCTGCTTCCTTTTATTTTCTCTTCTCTCTCTTTGCTACTAGGATCAAACAGCATAAATCGAGTAACTGCAAACATAGAAAATGGAGAAAATGAAGGAACAACTAAAATTATTGCACCTTCACCAATAAAAAGGTCAGTCAGATAACTGAAGGAACATTATGTACTGCCACAAAGATGATTGTCCCTGTGGGCAAGGTTAAGAATCTTTTCATTTTGATACTTAACTAACACTTTTGATCAAAATAGTCTGTGGGCCAAAGAATACTTTATAATGCCAATGAATTATAAAACATCAGCTCTTGCCTCTCTCAGTTGAAGGAAATGCTCCTGCTGTCACAGCATGGTGATCTCCAGGATAGCCTGTGGTCTGCGTTCTTGGCAGCAAAGTGAAAATTCCACGTGATTTCTTAAATGGCATGATATAATGGACTAACTCAAAGGGACCTATGAAATAAAGTGGATGATACTCATGTTTAATGTACTGTGTTCATTACAGCGGTGCACTGAACTATGGCCCTGGAAAGAGGGTTTATAGCATTTAGAGGCGCAGGGCTTCAGAAGTCAGTGATTGCATATGTATGAAGAGTTGTCATGGTCCTTTGCATCAATTTTCCCAGCAGCATTCCCCAGAGGAAAGACCTTCTCTTAATATATTACATGAATTGTTTCCCTGACAGATCAGACTTGTTCTTAAGATACTATTTTTGTATCATTTTTTCCTATCTCCAATTATGTTCATGGAACAGCATTTTAGACATACAATGAGCAGCTTTCATCGGCTCACATTCTCTCTAGAGGTTATGCCACACACATCATGGAGAAGTCCAAGTAATCAGAAATACATGACCTTGAAAGAATTCTTAGATCGTCTCCTCCATCTTTTGTTAGTAAATAATGGTGTCTTCATTTAGCTGGATTGTGATTACTTGGAGAAATATAGTGTATAATTTCTTAGCAAAGTAGTTTTAAGGTATAAGGATTTTCAGAGTTGCGATGTTTGCCCCCAGGGTTTTGACTGCAGGGTTTTCTTTCGTCTGGTTTCCAGAACACTCCCTGTACAGATTCTCTTTTGGAATGACAAGTTCTTTGCCTTTGCATATACTTTAGCTTACTGTGCCTCCCTTAGTCAGCCTCACAGCTGTGTGTAGAATCACCTTAACCTGTTTGTACAGGGTGTGCTATGGTAAATCCAGCATAAGAATAGTAATCCTCCCTGAAATTCAGATCCCAAGCCTTTTAGAATGTGTAGAAGGAGTTCAGTCTCCTTTGTAACTGAGTTCTTGCCAATAGAACCGATATCTGAAGGGCTGCCAGATTTCCCCGCTCAAACTCTAGATGAGAAATAGCTTAGGGAGTGAATGCCATTAATTTGCCACCCAAGATTTCATTGTTCTTTGAGTCTCCCAATTCCCCTTTCATCTTGCTATTCCATTTCTCGATTTCCCTTTTCTTTTTTTCCTTATTAAACTCTCACACACCTGTGTGGGTACGTGCACATTTTCTGCTGTTGTATTAAATATCTACAATATTTATTACTTTTCCGCATTTCAAAAGTAAACTTTTACTTTGGAAATATGATGTTCTAAAGATTTCTAACCTTTATAAAAATAACATTCACATATAAAACCTACTACTGTCTACTAATGCTATGAGTTATGTACTTTTGTCAAACGTATTTTTTAGGCTTGTATTCCTATATAATTATAATATGCTAGGGTACAAGTTTATTTTCCCTTTTTTGAATGACCTTGTCAATTTTTTCTCTCTCCTCTATCTTGGCTGTTATAAAGAACCCTGCTATGACCATGTTTGAGGACAGTTATATAGAAGATTCCTCAAAAAGCCAGGGTTAAAAGTGGATTATGAGTTAAGTAGTTCTATCTTCTTCTGAAGATGAGACTCTCCCGGGGAAGTGAGAGGTGACACACTTCCCCTCCCACACTGGCGAGGTGGCTTCTAATGAGTCCTTCCTGGTGTCTCCCATGTGTTTCTAAAACAATTTGTTGGGATTAGATAACAACTCGGTTATATTTACATTCTTAGGACAGAAAGATGATACTAGGTCAGGAAATAGCATTTGAAAGTCATTCTGGTTTGGAGGGATGATGCCAAGATGTGGAAACTGGGGGCAAGGAAAGGGCAGTGTGGGTAGCCTAAACCTGCCTAGAGCTTACTGACCTGCACAGATTCAGTCCCAAGTCCAGAGCCAGGGGGTCTCTGCCCGCTGCTAAAAAGAGCTTTCCTTCTTCATCATCTGGTTGCCTTGACTTCCTGTTGTGCAGGTGGACTCTCTTGAGTTTTGTAAAAATGAATGACTAGCCTTCTTTTGATTTAAAAGCAGTAAAACTAGAAAGGAAGTGGGATGGGGAAAGACTCAGAATTACTTGCTGGAGACATGTGTTTTTTTAGGCAGCCACTTCATAACCTTTTTGGGGTAAGTCACAAATATAAATAAAAACACATTCGTAGACATTCATTAAATAAATAATTTTACTGAAGAAATAAGTACATGGCTTCTTTGTATATTCTAGTTGATTTGTTTTGTATACTTTTTTTTTTTTTAAAGCTTTAAGAAAACAAAGAATGAAAACAGCCCTGACACCCAAAGAAGCAAATCTCATGCACCATGGGAAGAAAACGGCCCCCAGAGGTAAAGGGAATCATTTTTTTTGTTTGTTTGTTTTTTGGGTTTTTTTGTCCCCTAAAAGAGAATAGTAGAAAAGTGGATAGCATTTGCCCCTATCAAATAATGGAATCCTGTGGCTGGTTATGATTACTTCTGGACAAGGCAGTCAGATTTCTAAATCAGCGTGACCGGGAACTTCTGAAGTGGAAATCAACAGGATGTGTCCTAACTTGAAACTCTCCTGGAAAGACAGAAAGGAAAACTAGTGTATATTAAGAAACTGTCTTGAAAGGTCATCGTGATGGTTTAGAGTAAGATAATATATTTCTGAAAACTCTAAATGAAATGAAATAAAGATAATTTCTCTAATTTCAACTCATAAAAATTTTAGTTAAAAACTATAGCAGATAAATAGTGATTCTAGAAGACCTTTACGCCTAACATACATATATATTTAATTTCTTTTGCTCATTACTACCAAACCAGTGACAGACCTGCATTATAGCCTCCTGGCTGTATAGTTATGGTGGTTTTAGCTATGACCACCCAGGGGTTCAAATCTTAGCTCTACCGCTTTCTAGCTCCTTTACGTGAGCTACTTAATTAAAAACTCTGTATTTCCTTTTTTTTTTTTTTTGGTTAAATAGGCTTAATAATTGTACTTCAGTGTTTAGGGTTGACGTGAAGTTTAGCTAAGATAATAAATACAAAATACAAAGCTTTTAGCTTGGTCAGTGCCTAGCATGTGGTAGGTGAATAATAAATGCAATTTGTTGTTGTTATTATTGCTATCATTTGAGTCTGTTCATTTCTGACTGTTGAAGGCCAATGAGACAAATCTATTCCTGCAAAATAATGACTTTTATGATTTGTTTTACCAGGTCTTACCTCTTTTTTCTTTTACTGTATCTTGTCAGCAAAGAGATCTGTGTGCCCACAATCCAGTATTCCCCTGTGATTACCAATTATGCAGTTATGAACTCTTCCATAGAAGCATCAGGTTCTAGGGCGAGAGTGTTCACTCTTCTGGGTCCTCTGTAGTCATTATTGACCATTCCTCTTCCACCCCAGTGGACTCTACAACTCGCCCACTGACCGCACGAAATCTCCAAAGTTCCCCTACATGCGCCGCCGAAACCCTTCCTGTGGGAGTGACGACTCTGTACAGCCAACGAGGAGAAGGTAAGCTGAACACAGCCCCTCTGTTTTTGATTCTCAACAGAAGCACAGAGTTCCAGTCACCTTTTTATTACAGGTTATTCTCATAATGTCATGCCTGTTTGTCTCCCTAAGTTAACAGAAAGCTTATGGTTTTTGAGATAAAATTAGCTAGGAATCCTGAAGCATTTCTCTTAAACAGCCAGAGTTTCAGAGAATAATTTCAAAAATATTGACAGGAACTTACTTCTTATATTGTGATTAAGACTCATAAGTTAAAAATATGTATATATAGTAACAATAATTATATAGTACGTGTAATACATTATATAACATAGTATATATTATATTAATGGTCTATATTAATATATGAGATATTAAATTTTTTGACCTGAGAAGACAAAATTATGTTTATAGATAAATGTTAGCTGAGGCTAAGTGCTCTGCCCTCCAGAATAATATTGTTGCATAAATGTGAGTAAAACTCTTTTCAAACACAAAGAAAATGAACCCTTTTTACCCAGCAGGTCAGATTGTTTGTATGATGATACTTGCGCGTGTGTGCGTGTGTACTTAATTTTCTTTTTTTAACGTCCGTATCTGGAAGTTTTAGATTCTCTTGTAAAACAGGCTGGGCAACGTGATGGGTCCAAGTGAAATTCATTTCATTCCTGTATAATGGGAGCCATTTTACTTTGTTTTACCTATATAAGTGGTATTTTATAAGTGACTTTTATAATTACGACAAGTTCAGGTCATGTTCTCAGATAACAATATATATATTTTTTTGATATATATATGCTGTGGATCTGGAAAGCGGAAGCCCTTTTCTCTTCGTGCCTTAGTTTATATTTACTTGCTGGTCTATCCCTGTCTGATTCCTTCTACTTCTACCAATTTCCCAGAGTCTTATTCCCCACCTTCACCCGATTCAACTTCCCTGAAATCCTTTGATAGTTAAGAAAGGTCTGTATCACCTTCACCTAGTAGGACTGGAAAGGGAGAAATAAATCATGACCAACAGTGATTAGATAGAATAGTGGAACAGTAGTTGGCATTTATCTTGTTCTAAGTCCTGAGCACATTGCTTGCTATATATATTATCTCATTTGATCCTTATAATAATATATGGAAATGGGCATTTGTATCATTCAGTCACTAGGCATTTTGAGTAGAGGATTAATGCAGGGTATTTGGTGCATAAATGTGAGTCGGAGTAAAGGAGCAAAAGACAGAGTGGTGCATCTCTGAGATCTGGATGCTCTACTGACCCTGCTCTGTGGAGAAACAAAAGAAGAGAAGAGGGTGTTACTCAGAGATCCAAAAGCTGCTCCTGCCTTTGAGCCAGCCCTCACTGGCCAGTGCTTACTACTGACATAGTTGTAGGCACCGCTATCATAGGCACGACTCTTGCTGCCACTGCTGGAGGTACCACCACCGCAGCTAACACGGTGGGCCCTCCGCTTCTCAAGAGTTCAATAGTGGATGCCATAGGTACTGCCAGAAGCGCAATCGCTTCCCCTTTTCTCCTGCCTTCAAATCTTACCTGAGTGCCTCTCTAAGTGGAACCTAGCTGGCGAAGAAGTCCAGAAAAATGTAATTTTCAGGCATCTCATCTTGGCAATGCAGGAAAGATTATAGATGGGTTGGGATGGGGCTGAGTATCATAGAAAGTACGTGGTCCAGCGTTATCATGTCGCTTTTACAGAAGAGAAAACAGACTCAGGTAGATCACGGTAACTTTCCTTTGTAACACATCTGGGATGTGGATCCAGGTCCGTACAAGTGAAAAAGGCAGGGATAATGAACCATCATTTAAATGAGGCAGGAGGAAAGATTTTTTTGTTTTTCTTCTCTACCAAGGATTGGTTCAGCTTGGATAAGAGTTAAAACGGAGGCAACACCGTTTTTGGAGCGCATTTGTGTGAACATGTGTGTTGAGGGGATGTGGGTGGTAGGAATCACTAAATATATTAGGAATTTGGCACTATATGATCATTTTTAGATAGGTTTTTCCTCCTTAATTATTAGTGTACTTTGTCATTATTACCTAAATAAAATAATTATACATTTTGAGTAGATGGCCATTTTGATTTTAATATATTCAATATGAATTTATCAAGTTTTGCTACAATATACCAAAATTTACATTATTTTTTTTTTCAAACTAAATGCTTGAAGTAATTTGGAGCATATACATTCTCAAATCCAGACTTAATGACTTCTGTACTGAGATACATTTTCTGTTGTCTTCCTGTGAAATACAGAGAAGTAATTGTGGTGAATGGTTACAGGATCCTTTCATTGGCACCATCCAGGGGAAAGACCATTTTGATTTTGTCTGAGCAACCACAGAGCTTTCTGTCTTGTTCTGTGCGTCACTTGAAAGTTCTCTTATTTGGCACGTGTGTTTGAGGAGACTAGCCATTGCTGCACGTTGGCATGGGAGAGCTAGAACTCATTTTTTATTTTTTTACTTTTCACTGTAAATGCCCTGTAATGGCCCTGTTCTTGTTAGTTTTGTTTTATCTTCACATACTTACCTTGCCCCTGGGCACAAATCCCTATATAGATAGATTAACTCTGACATTTAAAACCAAGATTTGTCATTAGCATGGAAGAATCTCAAGGATTTAAATTTAAGGATAGGAAATACTATTTTGTAGTGGATGCTAGGATAATATGTTTTGTAAAAGATATCAAAATTTCATGTTCTGCCAGTTGTTTGTCATTAGATGGATTCATCTGTCAAACTCCGACAGAGTCTAGAACATTGGTACTTGACTGTTTTGGATGATAGAACTCTGAAATCTGTTGAAATGTTGGATTCATTTCCTAGGGGGCAAAATGTGCATAATGAAATACACATACAAACTTCCATATAATTTTTAAGGTTCATGGAGACCCCGAAGCCTGCTTGTTTAAACATCCCTGTTCTGGAAAAATAAAGCCAGCGTACTTTCTGTCAGTACAATTTATTTTCACCCTGTTCATCTTTACACTCAAAAATGTTTATTGAGTGCTTACTTTATGCCTGTGTTAAAGTGCTTACTTTAGGCGCTGTGTTAAACAGCACTAAAGAAAGTCTCTGCCCTTTGAGAGCTTACAATTTGTTGGGGAAGGATTATACAAATCACACAAATGCCTGTGCATTTATGACTTTTATATGTCCTCAGAGTCTCAGAGTTATGCTTAGGGGGATTTAAAAGGCTTCTTTTTTTAAATTGAATCTTAATATGCATACAGAAAAGTACATGTGTTATAAGAATAGCTGCTTGACCTGTGCAGCCAGCACTATTAGGGGGAGTTTTGCTGAGTTGCTGAGTCAGGGAGGTCTGGAAGGGTTCCTTGAGGTGGAATTCTGGAGCCGGAATCTAGGACAAGAGCAGGCAAAGAGGTGAAGCAGCTAGCATGTGCAGAGGCCTTGAGATGGAAGGGATGGGGGGAGCATTCGTGAAAATGACAAAAGACGAGTGTTGCTCATGCATTGAGAGTCGAAGAAAAGCGTTAGAAATGAGCCCAGAGAGAAAGATGGTGCCAGACCTCATAAGACCTGAGCCTTTTCGAGGATTTTGGTCATTAGACCAGTAGTTTTTAGAAGGTCACATTTGTATTGTGTAAAGATGATTGTTACTGTTCTGAGGAGAAAAGGTGGAAGAGGACAGTAGTGGAAATGTTGCTCATGCATTGAGAGTCGAAGAAAAGCGTTAGAAATGAGCCCAGAGAGAAAGATGGTGCCAGACCTCATAAGACCTGAGCCTTTTCGAGGATTTTGGTCATTAGACCAGTAGTTTTTAGAAGGTCACATTTGTATTGTGTAAAGATGATTGTTACTGTTCTGAGGAGAAAAGGTGGAAGAGGACAGTGGAAGCAGAGAGACCAGGCAGCGGGCTATACCATATGAGTCTTGGCCAAACAGAATGGTGGCTTAAGCCAAGGACGTAATGTAGAGATAAGGAAGCTAGTGGTTTCGAGATCCATTGGGAGGATAAATCAATAAGGCTGGAAGGACCAGTATGAAGATGAAGGAGCGACAGATGTAAAGAATGAAATCCAGGCTTGTATAGTTTCATGGATTAACGTAACGTGTGATACACTGACATAAGAATCACCAGGACATTATAGGATTGAAAGGGACAACTGTTTGGTTTTTGGAATGCTGAATTTGTGGTACCTTCGAGAAGTCCAAGTATAGGATATAAATGGATTATTGGTAAGTCAGAAGCTGGATTGGCTGTCTGGACTGAAATATAAATTGCTTAACGATGTTTATTGAAATATGAAATAGAGATCAGACTGTCTAGATAGATAGTATAGATAGAATGCAAAGACAAAGCCAATGACAGAGCTGAGAGAAACTCCAGCATGTATTTGGCTTAGTTGAAGAGGATTAGCTTTGTGAAAGAGACAGAGAAATTGTGGCCATAGGGGGAAAAAAAATCAAGAGTGTGAATATCTGCTTACTAAATGGCTCCCTTCTCCTTTCATTCCCAGAGTGCTAGAAGCCAGATTTATATCTCCCAGGCATGCAATTAGAGAATCTCACTGTAGGAAATGGACAGATACAAGAGAAAAGACATATGGATACCAAATTTCAAAGGCTCCTCCAATGCATGATTGAGACTACCTGTATTACATTGCTCCACATGACAGTGAAGCCATCAGTTAACATGCTGTCCATCCAGAGGTTTCCAGTCTTTTTCATGCCTAATGCTCAAATATGAAGAGAGAGCCGTAATCACCTGACATTTGAAGATAGCTTCTGTTTGGAAAGACAGAGACTGAAACAAACAATTAGGAGTTACATAGGGGTTGGTGGTGGTGGTGATGGTGGTGGTGGTGAAGTCATAGGAAATCGAGGCAACATAAGAAACAAAGAAAAAATTTAAAAAACATAATTATCTTTAAAATATGAAAAGTTTTATATCAAAAGAGTGAATAAGAGTTCTTAGACTTTAAATTAACGTGGCAGAATTTAAAATAATCAATCGAAGGATTTAAAGATGAAGTTAAGGAAATATTCCCCCAAGTAGAACAAAAACAAACAAATATATGGAGATAAATATAAAAAATTATCAAACCTGGATATCAAACATTTAACTAATGAAATTTCTAAGGCAAAGCCCCCAGAAAATGCAGGAGAGGAAACTATGAAATAAATAATGCAAGAAAATATCCCATAACTGAATGATCTAACTGTAGATAGGAACCCACTGAACTTTTGGCATAATAGATTGAAAAAATTAGATCAATACCATGATCCATTATCATTAAATTTCAAAACATTATATATTAAGAAAGAATTTTTAAAACTTGGAGTGGGGAAGAAATATGGGAGAGAAAAATCCATGCACAACTGATTGCAAATCATAATTTTGGCATTGGGCTGCTTAGTATCAGAGAAACAAGATAGTGAAACATTGACTTTAAAATGCTGAAGGAAGATTATTTTCAATTTAGGACTTTATGCCCAGAGAAGTTATAATTATATGTGTCGAATAAAAACATTTTCAGAAATTTCAGCTCTTAAAAAAATGTACCTGCTATGCAAATTTTCTCTGTTAACAACTGAAAGATACATTCCACCAAAGCTAAGAGAAGAAGCCATGACACTTGGGTATATGGGATTCAGCATACAAAGGAGCAAAAGGAAGTCCCTGGATCATGGTACATGGAGTTAATCAAAGTGACATCTATGCAGCAGTACTATACAGACTGTCCAGATGAGAGCAGGGGGACAGAGAGCCTTGCAGATTACCCGAGCATTCGTCTGTCTCAGGAGGAATTTTGCAGCTCTCTCAGAGAGTTTGGATGAAGAAGTAGTGATAAGCACAAGGAAAACTGACCAACTGATAGGTACATAGAAAACTAGACAGTTATCATCTCTAAGAAAATTGTCAAACCTATACAAGAATAGAATTGTATTTGTCAAGTGCTACATACGTGAACCATACATTTATATGTATATATATTTTCTTTTTTTTTTTTTTTTCACTAGTTTATACTAGTTATCCAGAAATTTGGTGTAAGGACAGAGACATGTCAATGTTATGTTATTTGACAGAAGTATATTGGGGAAAAGGGGAATGTAAGTTGTGATGGTGGTCTTAAAGAGCTTGTGTGCCCCGATCAGAGTGTGAAGGCACATGTAATAAAGGGAAAGGAAATGGAGTCAAGGGGCTTAGACACCTCTCTCACGAAGTTTGGCTTTGAAGGGGAGAGACTGGGCAGGAGACACAAGGGGATGTGTGGAGTCAAGTAGGGGTGCATGTGTGTGTGTGTGTGTGTGAACAGGAGAGACTTGAGAATGTGAAAAGCCAGTAAAAGAATTTTCCATGAGGACAAATTGAATATACGTGAGAGGTAGGAGGGTGGTTAATGAAAGTCATTGAGAGGACGAGAGGTACTGGGACCCACATAGCACAGGCGGAGAGACTGACCTTAGTTGTGAGGACAGATCTGTAAATAACAGAGAGGGAGATGTTGGTAAGTTTTATTTTGGTAACAGGAAGATGAAAGAGCTGCCATTTGATGGCTCCTTTTTCCTTTGGAAGAAAACAGTTATCTGTTAAAGCAGAGGTACTGTGTACCAGAGGATTGCAAGGCAAAAAGAGTTTAAAACTGCTTTTCAGAAACAGAGTACTTAGATCAGAGAAGGGTGGTAGGATTGCTGGGCCATGTTGTGGATCCATGTGAGGTTTATGAGCATGGTAGTGTAACTAATATGTTCTTTTGTGTGACTCCCTCCTCACTGCTTAGCCAGCTGTTGAGGGCTAGCCCAGAAACCTGGATAGTTGGTTTCATCCATGCTTGGGGTCCTACCAAAAAGACTAAAGAAAACCAAAGATTTTGAGGAAGTTCGAGTACTGACATGTATGTTATTGAAATGATAGAAATCTAAGCTGAGTCAGGGAAGGAATGGAGAAAGGCAAGAAGCTGATGCGAAGTTGCAAGGTCAATAGACAAGTAGTCCCATTGAGATCAAAGAAAGGAAGAATGGAAGTAGTTGCGTAAGCAATAATAATAATAGCTTACATATACCGAATGCTCACAATGGGTCAAGTCCTACTCTATACATTTTAAATGTGTTAATTCATTTTGTCCTCCTAACAAAGCTTCGTGGGAGGCTCTACTAAAACTGAGGCCCCAAATAGAGGAGTCATTTGTTTAAATCACAGAACTCAGCAGTGGGCAAGATGGGGTACACGTTCAGTCTGTTTTCCTCCGGAGCCCACACATTTAACCAGGAAGCCTCACCGAACCTGTTTGAAGGTAAACAGGAAGGAGAGGTGAATGTATTTGGAGGTGGTTACAGATGATAAAGTCTAGAGCGTGGGTTGCTGCGTTATTGCGAAGAGTTTATTAGAGTAAAGGTCAAGAGACTGGGAAGCCAGGGCACTGGAAAAGGCATCCAGGTGAGAGCTGACATCAAATTATGGCTGAATTTGGCCTGGTGGATGGCAGACCTAGGAACTGCAGACTAACTCCATCATTGGATGAATGGAACTTAAGTCGTGTTGCGTATTGTTATTTATAGACTGTTTTTACAGCGCCCACTAGGTTGCTGACTTCTTGAAGCCAGTTGTTTTATTTCTGGGCCTGGCATATATGTGTGATTGATCGATTGATTGACTGATCGATTGATTTTTATATATGTGTGATTTAAATGTTTGGTGAATGAATGAATACATAACAAATATTCATTAACTGAAGTGAAACTCATTTTGGTGTGCTTTCCTTAGCCAACTGATGATAATTTTCTGGTTTTTTTTGTTTAATGTCTTCATTTATTTTATTTTTCTGTAGGAAAGCCCATAACAGTGGTGAAGACTCAGATTTAAAGCAAAGGAGGAGGTAAAAAAAAAAAATTAGAAGGCGGGTCAGGGAAAGGAGAAAGGATTAGCAGTTAGCACTGCTCAGCGTGGAGGCAAGAATGGGGACTTTTTTTTGTTTGTTTTATTAGTGGCTGTTTTAAGAGTATTATTTGTTTTTTAACTTGCAAATACCAGTTTCGGCTTCAGCTGGTTCTCAGTCTTCCATTCTGTAGCATCCCTAGCAATTTCTTTTTCTTCTGTTCCTTTGTATCGGAGGAGCTGTCTTGTTTATCTATTGCTACATTAAAACCACTCCCCAAAATTGATGGCTTTTAAAGCAACAACAGCTTTATTTCTCTTATAATTCTGTTGATTGAACAGGCAGTTCTTTAGCTAGTCTTTCTAGCCTCAGATGAAGCTACAGTCAGATGGTGGCTGAAGTTGGATTATTCAAGAGCCCTTTCTCTCTCATAGTTGGTATTTTGGCCAAGTGGCTGGAGGTCAGGGTCCTCTCTCTCTATGGTCTCTCCACTTGGCTAGCCTTGGCTTCTTTAGATAGTGACTGAGAGGAAGCAGGAGCTACTAGCCCTGTTGAGGAGTGGTCCAGTACCTGGCAGAGTATCTCTTCTACCTCATTCTATTGATAAAATCAGTCATAGGACCAGTGCAAATTCAAGGGGAGAGGAAATAAACTGTACCTCTCTCTTTGTGGGTTGGGGGTTTGACAGTGTGACAGGAGTTTATGTCCATATTTAGTCCACCACAGAGGCTTATAGCTTCGCTGTGTCAGAGTGCTACTGGAAGTACTTGGTTTTGTGGTCCCTTTGGGGTGCATGGTGACATTTGCCTTAATGTACTTTCACATTTCTTTAGATTCATTCAGATGTCTGACTGAATTGAGAAGTACTGACTGGAGGAGGGATAACACTTATGTTGGATTAGTAATTTTACTGCAGAATTAATTGTAAAGAACCAACATGAAAGGTTTTATTTGTCATAAATGTGTTGTTTTTTTTTTTTCTTGTTTTATCTGCAGGTCACGCTCACGCTGTAACACAAGCAGTGGTAGCGAATCCGAAAATTCTAACAGAGAACACCGGAAAAAGAGAAACAGGTAATACTGCAACATTGTAGTTAACTGGAACTCCAAAATGAGAGGCTGCTGGTGGTGGTTAAGAGGTGGGTGTCCTCTGTCATCTCATCTGTGTTTAAGGAGGAATCTGGCACTATTTTGAAGCAGTATTTTAGGAAACCTCAGCTCGTTGAACTGAGTTTCTTATCTTTATAATAAGATAATTAAGCAACTTGACAATGAAGTTCCTTCTTGTTAATTAAAAAAAAAAATAGATGATCTGTATTTAGGTACAACATGTAGTGAATTTGTCTAAGGGTGGTAAGAAATTTTACTGTTGCTAGAGGGATTTCTCCCTGAATTGTCTTTTAACATGACCTTGCTATATTTTGCCAACCCAAAATGAGGAGCTTGTTGTTTCATAGATTCCACATACAAATATGTGTTTATATTCATGTCAGGTACACACAATTAGATGGGGAAATGTGCTTAATTTATATCTTTAAGACTCATTTTTAAGAGCTTGTTAAAACATCATTTGACATGTAATCAGTAGGAATGGCTTAATGCATTAATCAGTTCTCCCTGGTGGCAAAATATTTATTTGAAAACAAATGTTCACATAGTGAAAGAGCACAGGCTGGGAGTGAGAGAGATTTGGTTGCGGGTTATACTAGTTTCTAACCCAGTGGTTCTTAACTGGGAGCAGTTCTGTCCTCCCCCTCCACTCCTACAGGATAGTAGGTGAGGTTTTGAAACACTTTTCATTGTCACAGTTGGGTGGGGGGGATTGCTGCTGGCCAGGGATGCTGCTAAACATCCTACAATGCACAGGACAGCCTCCACATCTAAGAAGTATCTGGTCCAAAAATATGTCAGTGGTGCTACTGTGGTAACCTTTTCTCACCTGATATGGAACTCTGGCCTGGTTGCTTTTACTTTTCTGGGTTGTCTTTTTCTCTTCTGTAAAATGAGGAAGTTGGATGAGATAATCTCCAAGGTCCTTCTTTCGTGCTTGGAGCCCTTGTGCTTGGCACACATTGAATCAGTCTCCTCTCTAACTACAAAGCCTGTGTAATAATAGCCTAGACAGCATTATGAGAGAGAGTGGACCATTTTCCACACAGAAAGGAAAGCTTTCTATCTGGAGCTTTCTTAGGGCCTAGAATCACACTAGATAGAGGTAAGATCGTAAGGTGTTATGACTCTCTTCTCAAGGAAATTATTTCAGTTTCTTCATCTATAAAAACCCAAGTGTAGAGGGCAGCTCTCCCTGAGGTGCTCTCTTCCTGCTCTAAAATTCAGTATCTGTACAAACAATATAAAACAAAGCAAAGCAAACAACCAAACAACCCCCTCTCCCATTTGTACTTATTGATCAAGCCATTATCTTAACAAATATAGATTTGTTTTGCTTGGTGTATTGTAAGCTGTGCTCATAGATGCTCTAATCTTAAGTTTTCAGAAGGTAGCCTGTTTAAAACAGTGTCTTCAGGGGCCAAAATGCTCCCAGTAACATTTGTTGTTCAAAGTGAAACGCTATTTAAAGGTTGCCAACAAATCCTTAAATAGCTCATTACTGAGCTTGTTGTATGGGCTTCAGTATTCCTTATAGATGTTTTCTCTCTCGATAGCTTCTCCTTCACCCTTGTCACGAATAATTTTTTGGATTGGATTTCTTTGCACTGCATAAGTAGTATATTTTATAATGATGGTGGTTCTGAATGTTTCAATGCTAATGCAATTCGTAAGGCTATTAATGAGAAATCATTTTCAAAACATGCTCTGACACAACAGCTTTCAAATTCATTTATTTTACCTGCAAAAACATTGCTATAGGGTTTCATAACTTGCCTGTGTCTGCAGAAGATAAGGTCTAGAGTTCTGGCTTTCGGGGCATAGTAGAAAGTAGACAGAAGAAATATGTCTTTGGTTCCAATCCCTACTCCTGAAAATTCTTGTGCAGCAGGTGACAGTAGATGCAAGGAAAGGCTGCAAATGCATGACTCTGTTTCTGAGTGCCACTTACCCATTATGCTTTGCTACCACTAATACCTCCATTCCATTATTAGCTTTTTAAATTAACCAGAACCCACTCATTCCACATCAGGATGCATAGGTCTGAATATTTAAACTGTAGCACTGATGTAGGTCTCAATATGTCTTCTGTCTGTGATGAAGGGTTGTCTCCGGATGTCCGACTTCCTCCTTGTACAAAAGACTTTGTTTTGGGGGAGATGAATCTCTTCAACTCATCTGTCCTTCCTTATCTCAACAACAGTGTGACCCAGCCAAGCTCTCCCAAACATCCTTTGTGCTTTTATTAATGGACTCTGGTAACCCTAGAATAGGGCAGAGTGACTGAATCTTGAACATGCTGATATTCTGCTTCCTGTCAGCAAAGTCTCTAAATTCAGCCCTGTATGCTTCATCACTTGTACACTTCAGCCTGGAACCCACCACACCCTGCTTTCCTGTCTCCCACTGGGAACTGTAGCCTGGAGCAAAGGGGCAGAGACTTTTGCAGATTTGCTTTTCAAACACTGTTTTGAAACCCATGCTGTGTCCAGTGGAACTCTGGACAGTCAGGTTTACTTTTTTGAGCTTGTGTGTGGTTTTCCCT